GGAGACTTTTTGCAAAGTTCTCCAAGTGCGAGGTGCAGTTTTTGGGGCACCTTGTTAGCCATAAGGGTATTCTGGTCGATCCGGCCAAGGTCGAGGCCATGATGCAATGGGAGGTTCCAAGGTCTCCATCTCAGATTCGGAGTTTTATTGGTTTGACTGGTTACTATCGGAGATTCATCCAAGACTTCTCCAAGATGGATGTTTCGTGGACTCGACTGACCAAGAAGACGGTTACATTTTGTTGGGGGCTTGAGCAGCAGGCAACTTTTGAGACTCTGAGACAACAATTATGTGAGGCGCCGATTCTGACCCTGCTAGAGGGTGTTTATGATTTCGTGGTATATTCTGATGCTTCGATCACAGGGTTAGGGGTAGTGTTAATGCATGGGGGTCGCGTGATCACTTACACTTTGAGGCAGCTGAAGCCTCATGAGGTGAATTATACAACACATGATTTAGAGTTGGGAGAAATGGTTTTCTACCTCAAGATTTGGTGACATTACCTCTATGGGGTCCATTGTACTATTTACACGGATAACAAGAGCTTGAGATACTTGATGGATCTATCGAAACTGAATATAAGGCAACAACGATGGTTGGATGTGGTGAAGGATTATGATTATAAGATCATTTATCATTCGGTAAAGGCCAATGCGGTGGCCGATGCTCTCAGCCGCAAGGAGGTTGTGACTACGATCAGATACATATGTTTGAGGATGACTGGGAGTACTCCATTGTTGGAGCGGATTCATGAGGTTCGGGTTGAGGCTATGAAGGAAGAGCACCGGAAGAACGAGCGAATTGTAGGTCAGGTGGCTTCCTTCGATTATGATAGTCATGGATTGTTGACTTTGCACCGAAAAGTTTAGGTTCCGTATTGGGGAGGTGTACAGCAGATCCTGATGGAGGAGGCTCATAAGTCGAGGTTGTCCATTCACCCCGGGGCGGTGAAGATGTATAGGGACCTTCGCCCTAATTATTGGTAGCCCTGCATGAAGCGGGATGTGGCATGGTATGTGGATCGGTGCTTGACCTGTAGGAAGGTCAAGGCCGAGCATCAGCGTCCTTATAGCGAGATGTAGTTGTTGGAGATTCCCGTATGGAAATGGGAAGACATCACCATGGATTTTATCACGAAGCTTCCTAAGACGGCGCGCGTAGTGGATTCGATTTGGGCATTATGGATCGTTTGACCAAGAGCATGCATTTTATTCCGATTCAGGAGAGTATTTCTGCAGAGAAGTTAATTGAGGTTTATATGCGGGAGGTAGTGGCACATCATAGGGTGCCGATATCAATGGTTTCTGGTAAGGATGTTCGTTTTACTTCAAGATTTTGGAAGAGGTTTCATGACGAGTTGGGCACTCATCTTCACTTTAGTATAGCATTTCATCTGTAAATCAATGGTCAGAGTGAGTAGACTATATAGACCCTTGAGGATATGTTGCGTGCGTGTGTGTTGGACTTTGGAGGGAGTTAGGATACGTATCTTCTGTTAGCGGAATTTTCGTAGAACAATAGTTATCACGCTAGCATTGATTGACCTCCTTTTGAGATGCTTTATGGGAGGAAATGTAGGACCCCGATTTGTTGGGGCGAGGTCAGTCAGTGGGTTATGGGGAGTAGTGAGGTGGTGCTCAAGACCACTGAGCTGATTTAGCAGGTTCAGAGCAGGCTCCAGACAACTCAAAGTTGGCAGAAGAGTTATGTCGACATGTTCCATCAGACTAGAGTTCCAGGTGAGAGATATGGTTCTCCTGAAGGTTTCACCTTGGAAAGGTGTCATCCGATTCAAGAAGCGAGGCAAGCTGGGCCCTAGGTATATTGGCCTGTTCAGGGTTTTGGCTCGGGTGGGCCAGGTTGCTTATCGCTTGGATCTTCCAAATGAGCCAAGTCAGATCCATACTGCATTCCATGTCTCTCAGTTGCTGAAGTGTTTAGTGGATGATTCCACAGTGGTACCATTGGAGGATATTCAGGTAGATGACCGCCTGAATTATATTTAGAGACTGGTGGTGATTTTGGATTGGAAGATGAAAACATTGAGGAACAAGGTAATTGAGTTAGTGAAGGTGTAGTGGTAGCATCGCAAGGGATTAGACTAGACTTTGGAGCTTGAGGATGAAATGAGAGAGCACTACCCAAAGTTATTTGGGGAGACGGACTTCGAGGACAAAGTTTGATCCAAGTGGGGAAGATTTTTAACACTCGATTCCAGGTATGGAATTAATTCCAAATGCCTTCATGATTCTCTTTGAACACGACATGGTGAAGCCTCACCACGACGTGTCGATAGGCATGTGGGTTGCGAACTCTATTAAACCTACACGATGTTTTTGTGTCATTACACAGCGTGTTGGTAGATGGAGGAGAAACCTTAATTTTTAGGGTGTTTCACCCAATATAAAGGCCTTAAGTCCTCATGGATGCCCTCCTTACCAACCTTCATTGCTGCTAAAACCCTAAAATTGATCCTTAATTCTCTTGGTAGT